AAAAGGCTCTTTTATCGGCGCATTGATTAGTTATCGACCGCCGCATTTAATTATTTTTATTTTTATACATATTTGTAAGCATACTGCATTGTACACCTACCTATGACAGTATACATCTATCTATGACAAAAAAAAAATTTGTCGGATCAGGTCCGTCCACACAACAAAGACACAGCCCATTAGCGATTAGCCCAAAGTACCAAGCTTTAACCGCCAGCCCAATCCAAATCGCTGGTGCCCGGACTGCCAGGCTGGTGCGGTCCCCTCTCCTCTCCCTCGCAGCCTCGCTTCTTAACAAAACAAAGGGTGGAAAAAAATCCCAAATTGCACAAAAAAATTGTACAATCTACAAACACCAAACCCTAAAATCCAAATTAATAACATACTTCCAGTTCCAGGCCTGCAAAATCTGCATCATCTGAATCTAGAGATCAAGAAGGCCAAATCCTTCCTTCCCAGTTCATCATCATCACCACCATGACGTCTTCCAACATCTGAATCTGAATCTCAATGGCGCACTGCTGTTTCCCTCCTTCCTCACCAGCCTCCTCTGTTTTCACCGCCCTCCGCTTCTCTCTCTTCTTCCCCGGTGGCTGACCGGCCATCTCTCTCCTCTCTTTGTTTCCCACATTCCCAGCCAGTAGATTCTGCGTTGTGATATAGTGCCGGCACGGCGGAGTAGTGTAGAGACTTGCACATAACGCAGCCAAACCGCACACCAGCAGATTTCATTCTACCTACGGCTCTTCCAATGGGAAGCTCCGAGTACGGTGCACTTGACGCTGGAGTAGGTCCGATCGTCTGGGTTCGTCGGAGGAACGGCTCCTGGTGGCCGGGCAAGATACTTTGTCCCGACGAGCTTGCAGAGTGTAATCTCTCCTCTCCTCGAACCGGTACCCCTGTCAAGCTCCTCGGAAGAGACGACGCCAGCGTGTGAGTTTTACCTATTCCTGGTTTCCTTGCATCTCTTTTCTTCCTTTTTCCGGGCATTGACCCGATCCCCGGTTGTTTGTTGTCTCCTCCCTAATTGTTGATTCAATCTCCGTAAGTTTTGGCCGCTGGTGTTAGTAGCTGCAAGCCTAGTAAATCGTACCCAAATAAGAAGAAGATGCAGCCCATTTTTAATGTCCAAAAGCATCTAAGTTTGTTGGTCTGCTTCCGTGCAATGCACTTGTGTTTGCGGTTTTTCCTGCTATGGAGAGTTGGTAGGTCAAATGCACCTCCCCTGGCCTGCTTCTTATGGAACAAGGTTCTTTTATTACATTGTAATTTGAATGCTGTAGTTGAAGTGAAACTTGGAAGTGAAAAAATTGTTTCGCGAGCTTCAATTACCAATCTCATCTATGAGAATGATTGGGAATCGTGCATATTCTACAAATCATGGGTATGTAAGCATACTCTACTAATTTTACATATTGGGATGCTATTTGAACTATTTGGTTGGCCCTGAATCCACAAAGATCTGTTTATCTCCCACTGGATGAGTGTCCTTTGCTGCTTCTGATAACTTCTTTTGCACTTGGTTGCAGGGATTGGTATAACCTTGAGAAGTCTAAGCGTGTCAAGCCGTTCAGATGTGGGGACTTTGATGAATGCATTGAAAAGGCTGAATCTTCCCACGGGGTGCCGATTAAGAAAAGGGAGAAGTATGCTCGTCGGGAAGATGCTATCCTTCATGCTCTTGAGCTTGAGAAGGAGCTCCTGAAGAAACAAGGAAAATTAGGCATGACTTTTGATCATTCTAGAAGGACATCATCGGGATCTGCAAAGAAGGAAATTGTCACTCTTTATGATGAGCTGGGGAATAATTGCGCAAAACCTGATCTATACCAATTTCATAATAGAGTAGATGTCAAAGATGAGGCAGTTAGCAGTCCCATGCATTTGTTGCAAATGAGCGAAGGAAACAAAATATCCTTGGCTGATGATCATTCTGATGAGATGCCACGGATGAGAGACTTACGGGATGTTGGGCTTAGAACTGCCCATTTGAAGCGGAAGCTGTCTTCTTTTGACTTTGATAATAGGTGTCCAGAAAATCCAGTCTCTGCTAACAGCACCCTTAGCACTGATAATGGTGAGTATCTCTCCAGTATGGTGGTATGATAAGAAAATTTTGGCCAAGAGACATGGTAAAGTGTCTTTGGCCAAATATTGCTCACTGATGCACTCATAGCAACCTGATTTGACTATGGTTCTGCTTTGTTTCAGGAGTTGAGCAGCCCGAAACTCTTTCTTGTGCAAAGAGAAGCAAATTGGTTTACTTCCCAACTGAAGGTGGAGAGTTGATGGATGATAAAGGCCTATCTTCAGGCCAGGTTAAGATGTTCCCCATTGATGTCTCCCTGTCACAGTTTGATGAGAATGACCGCGATCCTCAACAAAGTTTGCTGAATGAGGAAAACTCTTTGTCTGACTTTATGGAGGATGTTGGGCATAATTCTACTGAATCTGATTCTTCCGAGTCTGATTTCTCTGCTACTGAGCCAGAAATGAACGATGAAGTGGCTGTCTTTTCAGGTTGTTTATTTTCCCTATCTTCATACTTGCTTTGTCATTTCTTGATTGATATCACATTGATACTTGAGAGATCCCAGTGCGCATTTGCGATTGTGGTATTTTTCCAGCTGGGAAAGGAAAGCGTGCTTTCTGATGTTTGGTTCAGTGAACTACTTATGCATCTACATGAGATACGTTTTGGTGATGATTTAGGAGAAGATCCACTTCCTGTTATAAGTTTAGTATTTTGCACAAGTATATTGGCCTAATTATTAGCTTATGATGACTCTGGGTCCACCATGATCATTGCTTTAGGTGCCGTATTTTTGGAGTTGGTAAAGATCCTATGTTTGTTTTATGGATGAAGATTTCATTATATAAAAAATGCTGCCAGGCAAGGCCAGTTTGAATGGAGCCGAAGAAGTGGCTTGAATGAGTTTGAATAGTTGTTTTTGTTGTTGCTCTGTGTAAGGGTATAGATGGTATGGTCTTGACATATGTTTCAGTTATGTATGGTTCTTGAGCATAACCATACTATGTAAGATGAATGTCACTATCCAGCTATGAAGAAACTTTTCCTTATTTTGTTGTTTGGCAATACTATCCTTTCTTTTGTGTCCAGAGTGATTTATTTTGTTTGTCCAGTGACTATTAACTTTATCATTTCAGATATGTGAGTTGAAAGTTAGTCCATTTTGTTATATAAATATAATATGCTTGCATATTTCAGATGGGACCATAGAAACTCAACTTGATGGTTTGGCCGGACATGGAGAAGATGGAACTACAAGCAGCGAGGAGACAGATGACTCTGCATTTTCTGGTGGCATGCCTCCTCACTATCTTGAGGATCATCCTTACCTTGCTAGTAATGAGACAGTGTCCAAATGGCAATTGAAAGGGAAAAGGAACACACGTAATCTTACAAGAAAGTCTCTGGACAGAGGCAATGGAAAGTTCTCTCACCCTTACAAAACAAAAGGAAGCACCTTGGGCTCATATGCTGTTCATGATGATGATGACGAAGACGATGATGATGACGACGACGATGATGATGAATATGGGACAAGATATTTTGAGTCCCGCAAGGGTCGGCTGAATGATGATGGCTTTTCTTATGGTTTCCAGAGAAGTCATCGTCCAAATACTTTTGGTCAAAAATTGATGAGTTGGGATGACATCACTTGGGAGGAGAGTCCTGCTTTCAGGAGCTTTTGGAAGGCCAGCAGGGGAGATCATTTTAGTCCTTTTGGTGGCAGAGGGCGGTCAATGTTAATAGATGTGGATTTGAAGGTGAAAGCAAGCTACCAGAAAGAAGCAGCTGTTCCTATTGTGTCTCTCAGGAGCAAAGTAGATGGAAGGGCAATAATCGGGCACCCGATCCAAGTCGAGCCCCTGGAGTATGGCTCGACCGATGCTCTCCTGGTTTCCACAAGTGATCACTGTAGCAGTGAGACAACATTCGAACACCACGATAGGAAGGGGGATACAGCTGCAGTACTTCAACAACCATCCTGGAGAACTGCAAGGAGGACCAATAATTTCAGGGTTCCAAGGCCTGTCAGTGGTCAGGTTCCCCGAGTCGGTGGTTCGGGTCGTAGAGGGTCGACCGGAGGTGGTGGAGTCCGGAAGGGCAGCAGTGGTCAGGTTCCTCGGCCTATGAGGAAAGTGGGTAAGAAGAAAGCGGGGGGCATGTTGTCATCTAATCAGAAGACAAGGATGCTCTCCTCCATAGGGTTCCAACAGCGTAAGGGCGGAAGTAGTAGCAGCAGCGGTGGCGGCAGCAGCAGCAGTGAAATGGGTGGTGGGGTTATGAAAGGGGAGACTTCCGGGCTCACCACGGTGGCTTGCATACCTGTGAAGTTAGTGTTCAGTAGGTTGCTGGAGAAGATAAACAGACCACCGTCATTTGGAGTCAAGTAGCTATAATTTAAGGTGGATACAGATTATAGACAAGTACAGCAGCAGCAGCATTAGGAGACATGTACAAGTTCTTTTTTAGGTTCCCCTTCTTTCTTCATTTCTTTTTTTTCCTTTTGACAGAAAAAGAAAGGCAAAAGGATAGATGGATATATAACATATAGATAGACACACTGACATGGTAGGTTCAAAGGAGGTAAGCAATGCAGCAATTGTTGCTTACTAATGGTGGGGGGTGGATTGCATATTCTTGTCATTGTTATTGTTTGACATTCGATTTTCGACACGGAATGGAATTGTGATAGGCATCAGAGAGATCTGTGATTTGCGGAAGGAGAAGGCAGAGTTAGCCCAAAGGCAGGGAAATTGCCTGGGTACATGAATGTACATTAGACTTGCTTTTTTGTGTGGCAGAGAGGAAACAAAAAGCAACTGGAACTTAAATAGGAAACCTCATTCTTTTCTTTGCAGTTTGCTTGAATTTGCCGCTTCTTTCATTCGTTTGGCTTGCATATTTCGAAACTGAAATTGGTGGTCAGATAGAAATTAACTTCCAAAAGATGCCAAATTTCCAAGAGTCGGTTTTTGTTTCCTCCTCAAATCACTCGACTAGCAATGGACAGAGTCGGTTTGAAAGAATCCAGGTGACTTGGTTAAACATATTTTTACTTCTGCACTCAACAGTCTACACTGTACATTGATATCAGTCTGTTAGCAAGAACAGGGAGTTCGCAGAGCAAAGCTAAAAAATCAGAGCAAGCATTATAGCCCCGTGGATATTTGCCCTTTACCCCTTTTTTTCATTTTTCGTCCGCAGCAGTAGCTGCTGCATTGACATCGAGCCGGACTCTGTTAGGCAAAGGCCTTGCGATGAGTCCATCAGCCGCCCAGCCAACTGAAACACTGTCTTCCCTAGCGTGGTCGAATTCCCAACGGACGTATTCCAGGGACAACCGCAGCTTCCCACCTCGTTCACAGTCAGCAGAGATGCTTCTTGCTTCCATTCCAGCATTTCTTTCCAGCCAGTAAAGGTAGTTTGCCTGGAATACTGACTGAAGCATGTCCAGTGGTGAACAACTCTCTTTAAGCACTACCTGTAGTGTAAAAAAAAAGCCAAGTTTAAGCAAACCCACTAATGATAAGATTCTAGAGATGCAAGCAAAGCAGAAATAGAAAACTTACGCAGAATCTTCCCTTGTGTTCAGTCAAAATGTACCCCTCGTCCTGATATAAACTGAAGAGCGCTAGTGCGTCATCCTTGTTGTTCACAATATCACCAAGGCTAGACCCCAACTGTAGCCGTTTTACTATTTCAGCAGCTGCATGCTTTGCCTCCGAAGATAGAACATCCGGCACCGCCTGGAAAATCAAATCAACTGCCATGAGAATTGCAGAGCCTAGTAATACAAGGCTCCCACCTCAGAAAGCCAGAGGAGAAAAGAGAGTAAATAACTCACTCTGCCACCAGAGTTCGTGGTGAGAAACGGTATAGCTGAGAATACCGGTTCTTCCTCATTGACCTCTTTGATTGGAGGTGCTTGCCCACTTAGAAGATATTCACTGAACACTAAACCTGTTTACATCAATCAACAAGGTGATTTTTCAGTATGACAAGATCGAAGATGAGCACTAGCAATGCATTTTCACAAGAAGTGCTCTTTAAATGAAAAGGAAAAGAGCATAGAAGAGAGTACAAAAATTACTTGCACGATAAGGGTTTAATGTCCTCAGCTGGATGGATTGATACGACTTGAAGTTGCAGAACATATGTATTACAGTAACCACACCAAACGTTGTAAGAGCAAGGGGAATTGAAGAGCCTATCTGGTTGGCAATTGCTATACCAATCATTATCCCTATAAATTTGCTGACCATTCCTTGAGCTTCGCCTTTTGCAATCACCTACATTTAGCAACAATTGGTTTAGGGAAGCCATCGATATAGAAGCTTGGTAGATGAATAGCACAGCCAGTAGCATCAAGGGATACCATGCGAATAACTGCTATGGTGACATCAAGACATGACGAGTGGAGGTAAACAAAACATGCAAAACAAATTTTTACCTCAGCGAAGTTCCTTTGAGCAGCAAAACCAGCATAGAAACAACTCCTAGTAGCAGCCTGTAGAATATATCATCATAACAAGTCAGATATGCTTAATGCAACCAGATTAAAGGCAAACAACAAAGTTGAAAAAGAGAGCAAGAGGTAGGGAACAGGCCTGGATAAGTGATGCAGCCGACCGCCCAGCTCCAGCAACAGCACCAATGAGAACAAAGAGATGAGGGAAAGCAGGAGTTAGCATCTCCAAACCAAAAGCAGCATTTTCCAACAAATCAGCAAAGAGCCTCCACCCTTTGGGGTTGACATCAAAATGGCGCCCGAACTTGGACAACATGATCTTGCTGAGATACCCAATTCCATCCTTGAGCACCCAATTGATAGCAGCAGCAGTTGGGATGGCTCCTTTCCCCAATCCAATAGCATAAAGCAATGCCTAATGTTCAACAACCCCACATAAAATCTCACTCCAAGTTTCATACCATATTGTGATCAGAAAGCAATAGAATTAAGTAAAAGCGACCTGGGTGGCAAGAACCCCGCTTATCTGGCTGGCAACACCTTGGACGCCGCGCCAGAGGGAGTAATCCAAGTAATCAGAAGTGACACTGTGAGGGAAGCCCTCAGGAAGCATGAGGCGGGTGAGAAGAGCTTTGCACTGGAACCAGAGGTTCCCAAAGCTGTAGTAGTCATGCTGGGAAGATGATGGAGCGATAAAGAACTCATCTTTGATGAAATCGGGGATGAGACTAATCCTCCTCCCTCCCTGAACTTCCCAAACGCTCTTAGGTATGTCGCTATCCTCATCACCGTCCACCGAAGTCGCCCGAGCAAGTGCGGAAGAGGCTAACTGTAAGTGGACGAAGGATAAGGCTACGGTGCAGCAACATAACAGGAAGAAGAAGGAATGACTGTTGTTGGATCCACTTGAAGGATGATCATTGCCACCATTCCACCATGGATCAAAAGGGTTGCCGTTGTTGTTATTGTTGTTGTTGTCGTCCCATCCACCTCCTGAATTATCCAAGAGAGATTCGAGGTGGAAAAGGGGAGGGGTTTCCGCAGACTGTGCTTTCGATGCAGCGACTGTGGCTTGCATCCGTAGGGATATTGAGAAAGGAGAAGGAGGAGAGCATGTGGGTATCACATTTGGTGGAAGGTCGGAGTGGAGAGAACAAGGAGATGAAACCCAAGTTTTGGAGAGATAGAGAGGTCGGAGACTGTAGCTGCAAGCCCAGTTCACCATTTTTCTCTCAACCTCTATACGTGAAACAACCTTTGTTGCCTCGGGGAGAATTCGAGGAATACAAAAAAGACGTCGGAGGAACTCAACTCCTCCAGAGTAAACTGAGTGTACGATTAAAATGATGGGCGGAAACAAAGATAAAGAACCTTTTCGAGCTTGCAGTGGTGATAATGGTGTATTTAGCGGGGAGAAGACCGGCCGGTGGAATCCAATTGCTGGGGTGGGGAGGTAATGGTAGCCGCCAGAATCCTCTGTCCCCCGCTCTCTTCCCCTGCTAATCAGAGGGGAGAATGCTGATGGGGAAGAAGCACAAAACGGTCTTGTATTGGGCTTTTAGGCGATGCGTACGGGCCCATTTAGTTTGGCCCAGTTCAGGAAAGAGAACTATTAGCACAAAGCAGCCAAGCGCCGATTTGAATTTTATTGGGCTTTTAGGCATGCGTACGGGCCCAGTCCAGGAAAGAGAACTATTGGCCCAAAGCAGCCAGGTGCCGGTCTGAACTTTCCCTGCAGATTCTGGTAAAAGAAGGAAAGGATAAAAGAGGAGAGTTGTGTCTACAATACAATTCCCAAAGTAACTGCTTCTGACCAGTAGTGACCAACGGCCAGCCATCCAACGAGACCCACGATGATCCAACGACCACTCATTCATCTCCATCCATTTCTCCCGTGACCGTATCCGTTGTTTCTGTCCGCCGTGGCACTGCCTGAAGCAGCGGCGGGGGAAGTCGTCGGAGCTGATGCCTCTTCATCGTTATCTACAATTGGGGTTTCTCCTCCTGAATTTCCACCACCGGCAATGATGTTGGTCAGGAAGAGTACTTGCTGCTGCTCATGCCTCGTCTTCTCGCACTCCCCTCTTCTCCCTAGGATTAGGAGGAGGCTCTCCGTCTCCTCCTCCCTTGTCGCCTCCACTCCCAACCTAATCGCCGTCGCGGCAGCTTCCTCCGCCACTTCTTCCACCCTCCATGGCGCCGTCTCCTCCGCCATCACCCAAGTCGCCTTCACCGCACTCGCCATCGCCTCCGGAGCTTGCCTCTCCACTAAGGTCGACTTCTTGTGGCCGAAACTCCAAGACCTTCCCTTCGGTAAGCTGAATTTCGTCGCCTAATTTCTCTTTGCCCCGCTTGTTTCTGTGTGCCCCGATTTCTGTCTGATTCTTTTTGGTTGGTGGGCAGAGTCTTTTGCCGTGGAAGGAGTGGATGTGAGCGGCTGTTCCATCTTCAGCGATTCCCAGGTTTACCATCTCTTTCGACCGCTTCAAGAAACGGGGTTGCGAGTTTTTGCTCCCTTCAATCTGAATTGAATTCCCTTATTTACACCCTGATGCTGTTGTGAAGGCAGGTGCAAAAGGCTATTGCATTCGCTAAAGCAGCTCACCATGGTCAATTCCGTAGAACTGGGGATCCTTACTTGGCTCACTGCATCCATACCGCCAGAATCTTGGCCCTGTTGGTTCCTTCAGCCGGCAAACGGGTACGCTTCTTTACCCCATCTTTCTTTCTAATCGGTGGTGAGGTTTCCTTCCCCAGCCTGACTGTTTCAGTAATCTCTCACTGAGTTGCTGTAGGCCACTGACACAGTGGTCGCTGGGATTCTCCATGATGTTGTGGACGACACTCATGAAACTTTGAATCGAATTGAACAAGAGTTTGGTGTTGAAGTTGCCAGGTTGGTTGCCGGTGTTTCCAGGTTAAGCTACATCAATCAGGTGGGTAGTTAGGTTCAAGAGCATTTTGGAAGTTCCAACCTAACCTCTTTTTGTTGCTTCAACACGGAACTAATGTTACCTTCTTGGCTTCCCCCTCTTCTTGCGTTCCTCTTTTTCCATTGATTGCTCCAGCTACTGAGGCGACACCGCAGGATACATGTTAATCAGGCCACTCTTGGCCAGGATGAGGTACTGATCATCTTTATCCGGTTGATTGTTAATAGCAGTAGTTGTGTCTAGATTGATTTAATGGTCAGATTCTAAAGAATTTTGTGAAGTGTGTTGCATTGGTTCTTAAAAGTTTTTTTTTTTTTTTTTGTCCTCTTAAGGCTAATAATCTGCGAGTTATGCTCTTGGGAATGGTTGATGATCCACGGGTGGTGCTAATCAAGCTTGCAGACCGCCTTCATAACATGAGAACCATGTATTAATTCTTATCTTTGGTCTCTTTCCATTCCCTCAAAATAACATGAGAGCCATGTAACATTTGTCATAACTCTTTTAGTTCGTTCCCTGATCTCATCGATGATGCATGAAATTGATTGATGGTTGAAATATCAAAATCTAGCATTCGGCAAACTGATTGCTCCAGAGTATGCTACTCAATTATTATCTCTACTGATTGTCATTCGTTTTCTGATGCTTTGTGCTCCAGTTATGCCCTCCCAACGCCAAAGGCTCAAGCTGTAGCTCAAGAAACATTACTTGTTTGGTGCTCGCTCGCTTCTAGGTTGGGTTTATGGGCATTAAAAGCAGAACTGGAAGATCTATGCTTTGCAGTTCTTCAGGTTTGTAGATTGTTACATTCTCCGTCTTAAGTATCTTACTTTTATTATGAGCTGAATGAAACTCCAACTCCCAAAACGAATGTACAGGAATTTGCGTATTTATTTGTTTGATTGTCTTAGCTGCATGATTATCTTCAATTTGACATCAATTGCAGCCACAATTGTTTCAAAAGATGCGGGCTGATCTGGGTTCTATGTGGAGTCCCACTACCAGAGATCTATCTGTAAGAAGATCGATAAGAGGTGCTTTACTTACTTCAGTTGGAAGAGGATCTGGGGCCATAGAAGAAGAGGAAGATACCTTGTCTGTCAAGGTATGCACTTAATTGTTTCCAGACTACATAGCATAAATTGACAGTTACAAAATAATAGTCATAAATTTGATCCATCTAATACCACTAAACGATCAAGCAAAAGTGTCTACTTCCCCTTGTTGCAGGATCTTTTGGAAGCTGTAGTGCCCTTTGATATCTTGTCAGATCGAAGAAAACGAGCCATATTTCTTGAAAGCTTGAAAAATACAAATGAGGCTCCAAAAAGACCAAAAGTTGTGTTGGATGCTGGAATCGCCTTAGCATCTCTTGTTACTTGTGAGGAAGCACTTGAGAGGGAGCTGCTCATCTCAACCTCGTAATTCATCCTTTAGCTTTCCTTTAGTTGCTTGTAGTTGGAGAAGATAGTACTAGATCTCGTGTTGGTGTCGACTTTGCTGACTTGTTGTTAGTAGAAGAAGGTGGTAACTTTTTGTGTATGTCTTAATGCAAACTCCTTATTCTTATACTTGCAGTTACGTTCCAGGCATGGAAGTATCCTTATCTAGTCGGCTAAAGAGTTTGTACAGCATTTACAGCAAGGTATTATTAGCCTTCTGTATAGACCAGAAAGGTCCAGCAGCCTTTTCCTTTTCAAGTAACTCCTATCTCAGAAATAAACTGCTCGATGAGTCAAAAGAAGAAAAGGTTTTCCCTAGTCCATACCCCTTACTCAAAGTGGAACCTCAATTAAATGTTAGCTACAGCCATAGTTGCTATAAAAAAATTGAAATACAAGAATGATGATAATCTTTGCTTTCATATCCACTTCACTTGGGCCTTTCATTCTATGTTTTACTGGTAACTATGACCTGCTTTGGTATCTAAAAACTTAGTAACTAAGAGTTTCTCCATTATCTTCTTGTTTTTCTTAAGATGAAAAGAAAGGAGGTTGGCATTAGCAAAGTATATGATTCCCGCGCACTAAGGGTTGTGGTTGGTGATAAGAAGGGAACTTTGAGGGGACCTGCAATTCAATCTTGCTACACTTTACTTGAAGTTGTTCATAGGTACATTCTTTTCTTTGTTAGTTTGTGCATATTCATCTCTGTGCCGTATTTTACTTTAGTATGGTTAATGTTCATTTGAAATTGTCCGACATAAATTACCAGTCTGTAACCAAAGCTTATTCATTCCCGCTAAATAACTTGATGGTGACCTGAAAAACCATGCTTTTTGGGGGTTTTTTTTTTCTATTGCAGACTATGGACCCCAGTCGATGGCGAATTTGATGATTACATTATTAACCCAAAGCCTAGTGGCTATCAGGTAAAAAGTAAAATTGAGCCCTCACTGATTAAATTGAATGCTGCTTAGAATCGTTGTTGTAACTGCTATTTATGTTGAGCTGTTAGCTACTCGGACCAGCAGTTAGAGGCCAAACTATTAATATTAAGCTGTACCAACCTCTTTGGATGTGACTATCCTCATATTGCCTTGCTTACTTTCACAATTCGGATTTAGTTTGGGTTTAAGTTTCTCCTTTGTAACTATCTAATGATTTTCTCCTTTTATAATTTGCAGTCGCTCCATACTGCCGTGCAAGGCCCTGATGGTGCACCATTGGAAGTTCAAATCAGAACACAGGTACAAAACTTCTCTTTTCTCATATGATCCTTCCATTGAAGCTGAATATATGTTTAGTTCCTTAAACTCTGTGCCTTCTACATGGACAAGTTTTTAAATAGCATTGCACAAAGAAATAATCCCCTGTTCAAGCTACCGCTGTTATTGATTGGTTTTATTTCTGCAGAAAATGCATGACTACGCTGAGCATGGGCTTGCTGCACACTGGCTCTATAAAGAAGCCGAAAACAAGTTGCCTTCTTTCAGCAGCATGGATGAATCTGAAGTAGAAGCAAGCTACTACTTCTCCAAAAGTAATGGGGATGGAAACTACGAGGAGAGTCAATTTCAAAAGTACAGATTCCTAAGAGTGGGGCATCCAGTCCTTAGAGTACAAGGAAGCCACCTGCTTGCTGCTGTTATAATAAGGTATTCAGTCACATGTTGCTTGTAGCTTCAGTATCCTCAAGCTTTGAACCAAGTAAATGATCTTCATGAGGGAGTTGCTCTTTTTAGAATTGACGAAGGTGGGAAAGAACTGCTAGTCGCTGTGAACTCTGGGCTGGCTGCGTCTGAGACAGTGGCTGACAGAAAATCTTCCTGCCAAGTAAAGCGATGGGAGTCCTACGCCAGACTTTACAAGAAAGTCACAGACGAGTGGTGGTGCGAGCCGGGACATGGGGATTGGTGCACATTCCTTGAGAAGTTTATACTTTGTCGGGATGGTATGTACCACAAGGTATGTACTCTATGTGTGTGGTAATCCATCCATGCATGCTGATGAATTCTTATGCAATAAGTCTTAGGGTGGTATTGAACGAAATTTGCGGTGCTTTGTTGGTGGGGGATGCAGCAAGACCAATTCGAAAGGATGCTGCCAACATTCATCCAGGTGATCGAGCTGACGGAGGAAGAGGAAAGTGAGTACTGGGATGTGGTTGCAGCTGTGTTTGAAGGGAAGCCAGTTGATGAAATCATTGCAGGTAAGCCAATCGGATACTCAGCTGCGGTATCATCCACTACTCCAATGGAAGCTGCCAGCATTAACAACAAGGTGAGGGAATGTTTGTAGTGGTTTGACCAGGTAGGATGGAATGGGATTTGAACGTGGAAGTGGCTGAATTGGTATGATAGGTACGACTTCTGAGGGCAATGCTGGGATGGGAGGAGCAGCTGCGCAGCAACAGCAGCGGGGGCAGCAGTGATGGCATGTCGTTGAATGACAGATCGTTGTCATCATCATCTGCAACGACAGTGGTTCTGGGGGAAGTGGTGGTGATATGTTGGCCGCATGGCGACATAATGAGGCTAAGGAACGGGAGCACCGCTGGCGATGCGGCTCGCAGAGTTGGACTTGAAGGCAGGGTGGTGGCAGTCAATGGTCACCTGGTGATCCCCAGCACGCCCCTCAAGGATGGGGATGTGGTTGAGGTCCGACTTTAGTTGATGGCAAGAAGAATGTTTTGCTGCTGCAGCAAGCCGGCAAGTGCGGTTCTCATCTCCCCCGTCACATTGTTAATATGATTGATATGTAAATAGTTGGGGGGAATTCGGCAATTTCCATTGTTCAACAAGAGGCATTGGGCATAAGCTGGGTGCCTAATTAAACTGTAGTAGTTCGCATGAAAGACTGTTCTATGCATGAAGGGGTTCCTGGTACTCAATCCATCGTAAGTAAATCGTCTTTCTTGGCTTGTGCAAAAAGATAGAAGGTAGTTTTGCAAACCCTCCCAACCAAATCTCCGATCGACAAACCCAAAATCCACTCAACCATTGTCAATCCAACCTCTAAGCTCTCTTGTCTTCCTCCTCACCCCTGCCTTAGTGCCTTTCAACATATAGACCAAAACCAGTTTCTTGAGTCGAAGAGGCTGTTGAGTCGCCTTTATTGCTGAATTGAAAAGGAAAAAAGAAAAAGTTGCATGTTCTGTGTCTGGTAAACAGAAAGAAAAAGACAGGGTTTTAGTTTGGTGTGTCTGTTCAATAAACAGATTGAAGAAAAGTTGAGAAGAAAGTCATCAGCTTTTTCGTCGCCGTCGCCAAGTGGAAGTGTTAACACAGGGTTTTAGTTTGCCGGTGCTGCCAAGTGGTCTCTCGGGGAAGAGAATCGATCATGGAGGATTTGCCGATCACAAGTTGAGCTCTCTGTTCCAAAACCATAACTGTGATTCATCTGATTTCCCCTTGCCCTCACTACAATTCAGCTGCTTCCTCCCTCTGCTAACTGGGTAAAACGGGCTTTCTAGTGATATTCGCCAATATCTCGATTTCGATCTTTTTGGTGATCTACCATATTCAATTTGGAATTCGATTGCTCAGTTGGAGCTTTATTTTGTTGAATTCATCTTATTTGCTGGGTATTCTTCTTTTTTAGATTCGTTTGTTTTCTTAGTATACTAGTCACGGGCCCGGCCAGTTGGCCGGATTTGCCAATCTCGTAAACAATTCTAACAATTTGTATGTGAGATATGCGTTTATTTGGTTGTATGAGAAATTATAACTTATTCAAGTACGTCGAAACATTCAAATTGTTTGGTAGTATAAGATAATACAAATTAATAAAGTAATTCAACCATTCAAAAGGAGCAACATAATAGTATTTTCCGACACTCTAACCGACTAATTGACTAAAATGCTTTTATGAAAAATGAAAGACAAACCCCATGAAAGAGAATGACTCCTAAAAACATTTTCAAAACACCCTTCTATCTACTCCTCACTGTTATAGATTACGTACTATATGGTTTCTTTTTTACTTGTTCGCATTGCCTCCTTCATGAGCAACATCATTATCTCCACTAGTAGTAATATCTTTGTCTCCATTAGTGATACATTGATCTCCATTATCAATTGCCTCTTGCTTCTTCTCTTGCATTTCAATTCTCTCTTCCTTTTTCTCCTGCATTTCTTTGAGCACACAAATATATTGGTAAAATATTTAGTTATTTACAAATACACATAATCTTTTTCATTATTGTTCTCTTGCATTAGCATTATGAATTTAAATTATTGACATTCCAAAGCACAACATATGATGCGGTTTTATCGAATCGTAAGTCTTTAATATATGCTGGAGTAAAAGTTGTAGCCAGATACAATTGCTTGCATGTTAGTACGATATGAACCAAAGTTCCACTGGAAATTTAAGATATAAATGACATGCTTTTGTGTATAAATTAAAGAATATGGCTAAGTGTAATTTATGCATGGATTAAAAATTGAAGGCATATATTTATGAAGGTATTAAAAGCGAAGGCTTATACACTTGATTATACAACCAAGTATACAATTGCATGCATACTTGTGAAAAAAAAAGTTCCAATTGAGTTTTAAGTTATATAATTAAATGCATGTCTCTAGATATTAAAGAATACAACTAAGTATCATTGTATGGTTTAAAAATTGATAGGTTTAAAAACTAAAGGTATATACACAGTACACTTGAAAATATTACATAATTTACCCTTGATAGTTGTTTAATTAGTGGATAATAGAAAATATTAATTGCATAACAAAATCAATATATGTGAAGTTTGACATGGTATGCAGGTTAATTAAATAATAATAAGATGATTCATATTCCAAATATACTCTAAATCCAACAGAGAGTACCACAATTAAAACAAATTATAATTTATGATAAAAAATAAATTTCAATTTTTTGGAAAGTAAATGAATTATGAACATCATAGCAAAGCAAACTGCGATAGGAAATTGTTCCCCTAACGAATGTGAAATCCAAACTTTCGTGATAAGAAGATAATTTAATTTGAGGTAGGAAGACCTTTTTCATCAATATGAGTACCTATTAGAATCTCCACTTTAATAAACCATGTGTATATATAGTCTCTTGATAATAATCATTGTGTCATTGCAAAGATATTTACTTTGATCCATATTTCTCAATAAAATTTCAGGGCATCCAACTTTCGGCCTAATGGAATGGTCTTGGAAATTACTAATCTTCAATGTATTCGGAAACTCCACTTAATAATCTACCTTTATATGATGTTGGTACCAGACACCAGGATCAACCTCAATTGAATCTGAACTATGGATCAAACTTCATCTCTTAGAAATCTTTCCATCACGAAATTCTTTATTTTCGATACTAATTCATAATGTGGAGCTAATATAACACGATGAACCAAATAGGTTCCTTCACTATAATTCAAATGGAGATCACCATACACACGATTCACAATATCAACAATGTCATCTCCTTCACATGGAATACTCAAAGAAGCTGGAGTTGAGATCATTAACTTTCCAAAAATATTGGATCCCTCTCCATCACTTATATGAAAAATCCATTTGCTGAATTCTTCAATATGAATAGCTTATTCAAACCCGCAAATTTCTATTGATAGAAGAATTTGCAATATCTGCTCGAGTTTTCTTGGTAATTACAGGTAATCTTTGTTGAAACCTCCACCAAACACAACATAAATTTCAAAAGATCATGTCCTCGCTATTTAGCTGTTTCACGTGCAAAAGTTTCTGAGAGTTATATCCCCTACTTCAATATTATGCTTATGAACCATAGGAGCTTCATCACAAATAATAAGCAAATAATTCAAAATCAGCTCTGCTAACTCGCTTCCTTATCAATATGACATGTTGATTTTGAGTTACAGTCAATTGGAATGTGAAATCGAGAAATGAAGAGTTCTACCTCCAACTATTAGCAAAGTTGCAATGCCTTACAAAGCCCATAGAGTTCCAAAATTTCTGCAATAATTTATCCATCTCCATCAAGTATATATCTTTTAACTCCCTTCTTCAATTGAATATGATATCATTCACTCAATAATTTCTAAATTTCTCCCTAAAAGATTGCACGTTAGACACTTGATAGTGGATAAGAATTGCGACAAACAAATTCCTTACTTTATATCCAGAACCCCGAAAGGCAACTTCTTCTAAGATGTCAATCCAACCATCATCCGGCAATAACCCAAGAACATTACATGGTTATTGAAATGAATCATAAACTACACCATTAACTGTTCTAATTTCTTCATAAGAATGACAACTTTTGACTACATGCGAAGATAAATTCTTTCTTTGTCTGATGGAGGACAATTATATAATCTTCCAATACACACTTTGTTCTTCCTCATTAACCACCTTCTCAATTATTGGCCCAAATGAAACATTGATAGAACTCCACAAAGTATATTTGACACATGACATACACAACACTTAAGATGAACTACATCTAACATCAAACTTAAAAAATTCTTCATCATGCTTCACCTGATGTTATGTAGCGACAATCTAGAAATGCTTTAATCTCATCAATATAAACAAAAGTTATGAAAGAATTTCCTTGGTTTTGGGGTTGTTTTCCATTACCACCTATTAAGATGTCAGAGTCGCCATTGCTTTGTCTTCATAATTGTCAATATATATGAACAAATACTTGATAGCCCTTAAATAAAATAGTTAATTAATCGTATAACTCGAAATGTTCAATTAACATAATAATAAAGTAAAAAAATCTATTGAAATCTGAAAGCATTATATATTGGCTATTTAAATTTGATTTCACAGTATTTCGATCTATATATTTCCAAAAGGTAAGTTTATGAAATTTTGGTGAATATTTTATTTTCTTGGCGTGGTGAGTTACATGTCTAAATTAATAATATGTAGAAAAATCATAATGAATAAGCACACATGCCTGAGTTACATGTCTAAATTAATAATATGTAGAAAAATCATAATGAATAAGCACACATGCCTTACACGCTCTGGAAAAATTTCAAAAAACATTTTCCCTAACTAAACTATAACAATATAGTAGCAAAAATATTGATAATAAAATGCTCCTAATCCTAGCCATGATAATATGGTTAATCCTATAGCAGCTTGATATCCTATGAGAATATAGTAAATACTTTGTTACAATGATAATATGAAGAACGACTAATGAAAAATAGTTAAGGAGAAAAAACAAACTGACAGGAGAAAACCCCATTATAATATGCTTTGAAGTATTTACTTATGGGCATATTCAAAACTTATGGAGAGCTACTTTCGAAGAGGGAGGTTCACTTCGCCATATTTGTAACACAATAAAAATTTTGGTTGGCGTTAAAAATTATATGCACCTTTGATTAATTAACCAACCACCCTTAATCTTGAAAAGTTAATTAGCTACCTATCATATTCTTATTTTCATACCAAAATCTATAGTCATCATGATACATCTATTTAACATTCAACAATTTTTAAATGCCCTTAATTGACTAACCATCCTATTTATTCAATATTCATATGCATATTTCTCTTTTTCCCCCTCCCTACGTGTAACATAGCTTTAGTTGATTCATGCGTGTAACATAGCCACAGCCACAGGCCTAAAATTTATAATAACAATTGACAATTATTAGCCGCTTGCTTGGCCGCCTGCTTGGAATAAGTAGAGGACCTAAAGTCCCATATCCTAACAATACGTATAGTGCCCTTCAATTGTTTTCGTGTGATCGTGTCCCAAGTATGCAAGGAAAAGAAGAATGGGCCTGGCCCAATTTAGTCAATAAATGCACAAGTAATTTACCAAAATCTCCTGCCGTGGATTGCGCAAAGAGCTAGGAAAGGGGAACTAAGGGGGTTCCGGCCAGGAACCTCCATATAGTATTGTTAGGATTTTGTGTTGCACTTTCATTAATTTGGCTTGGTCGCCGGTTCCGTCTGGTTTCTATTTGTCTATGTTTTTCTCTGTGTGGCAACGGATGGGCAGCCTGCAGGGTTGATAGAGATGAGTTCCCCCTTTCCATCCTTGGATTCCGTTGCTTGGACCTCCACTGTCGCCGTCAGTCTCTCCCTCTTCCTATTTCCGCCGCCGCTAGAGTAGCTCCTCTGGAATTTGGGACGGTGGCTTGATGGTTTCTCTTGGCAATTCAACCTTATCCATGATGACGTTGGCGTTTCCCGATACTTGAAGTGGTGGTGGGATGTGGGATGGGACGCGTGGAGCTATTAATCAACGTGGTCGATTCCCTTCAGCAGGCCTTCTAGTTGTTATTATCTATTCCACATTATTTATTATTATTGATTTATTTCTATTTCTTCCGTTCCTAATCTGTTATGGTCTTATGGATAATTATTTTCGGTTCGCCACTTTTAGTCAAATTTGCAGGGATTATTTTAGCCGCGTTGGGCCTCCAGCCTGGTGGGCTTGAAGCGTTTTTAGCAGACTGACGGGCCTCGTTGGGGCATCTTACTTTGTTTGTTTTGTAAGAGCAAGTGATTGGTGGCGGTTATACGAGCGCATGACAACGGCAGCTAACTTGTAGGCTGGTGTAGGCTATCCTGAAGCTTTCTTTGGCGGTTAGCTGTGTTTCTTTTTGCAGGGAATGGATGCTCTGCTTTTGCTATTGCTATTGCCAAGGATGACATACCTCCGACTTTCAGGTTTTGGCGTGTGTTGTGTACCCGCTTGTATCCTTTGTTGCATATTAGGATACTGACAGGGCTGCCCCTTGAGTGGCTAAAAAGGCTCTTTTATCGGCGGATTGATTAGCTATCGACCGCCGCATTTAATTATTTTATTTTTTTACATATTTGTAAGCATACTGCATTGTACACCTATCTATGACAGTATACAACTATCTATGACAAAAAAAAAAAAAAAAAAAAGATAGAAGGCAAAAGGCTTGTTATGAAAAGGCTTCTCTTCCTCTGAACAAAATCCAATATGAAGCCTTATCGATCCGAAATGAACTTGAGCTGAAGAAAGGAGCAGCCTTTTTTCGATCTGCTTCTAGTTCTAGCTTCTAGGCCCGTCCGCTTCCGGCGCCAACTCGGGAAGCAAATCAACCGGAGAGTATGAGACTAGGGCTGAAATTGGCTCGTGTGTAACGTGTTGGTCTATACCGCACCAAATGTTGCTTGAAGCGGATTCTATTGAACCGGACAAAATTGTTGCTTGAAATAGATTTATATCGAACCAAATATAACGTGGTCTGATTTTCGATTCTTTGAATTTTATATATATTAAGGAAAACGAAACGAAGTGATATTAGGATTGATCCAAAGCGTATATCAAAGCGGACAATTTCATTGTTGATCTAATCATTGGTCCTAAAATGTCTTTCAGTATTGGTCCGGTTTGCCGACATGCACACCCTTAGTCAGACTCGGGCCCGTCCCTGCGCCATCCTGGATAAGTACTGGTCCTTTTTAACTCTCTCTATTTGACCCCTTTCGTGACACTGACAGACACATCTCCTACATCTTTGTCATGTTCGACCACGACACCCATCTTTGCGAGCAAAATTCAGCAAAGGATGATGAAATACCGAACCCATTCTCCGTGGAATTGCCGGCGTCTAGTCACGTTCTCGGTGGCCGTGGAACCAGACAATTAGGACGATGACGATTCAGATACTCCTCCCATAACCTTATTAGAAGCAAATTCCAGTCTACTTTGGAATAAAACCGAAAGGAAGATGACAAAACTTGGACCTCAAACGGTGCAATTTACAATTCAGCAAAACTTCATAGCCCTCCTCCCATCTCTCTTCTCTCATCTCACCTCTGGCTCTGCTTTTTTTCCTTTGTCCATCTTATCGCAGAGAGAGCATCCATGGAGGAAACCAGCTGGATCATCGGCGCCATCATCACCTCCCTTGTATCTTCCCTAGCTCTCCTACTCTGCAAAACCCACCTCTTCCCATCCCACAACAACAAGCTCCCACCAGGACCCTTCTCCATCCCAATCATCGGCACCTTCCTCTGGATGCTGCGAAGCAAAGGATTCTCCGACCTCGAACCAGCCCTCCGCAAGCTCCGCGCCAAGTACCGCTCCATCTTCACAATCCGCATCTTCTCCCGTCCGGCCATCTTTATCTCCTCCCACTCCCTAGCCCACCAAGCCCTCATCCAAGACGGCGCCGTTTTCGCCGACCGGCCGCCCGCTCCGCCGCTCTCCAAAATCACCTCTGCCAACCAGCACAACATCAGCTCCGCCTCCTACGGCCTCACCTGGCGCCTCCTCCGCCGCAACCTCACTTCCCAAGTCCTCCACCCTTCCCGCGTCAGGTCATTCTCCCGCGCTCGCTCCTGGGTCCTCCAAATCCTCCTCCGCCGCCTTCAAGCCCACCATCAACAACAACAGAGCACCCTGAGGCTGAAGGATCACCTCCACCACGCCATGTTCGCCCTGCTGGTGCTCATGTGCTTCGGCGACAGGCTGGGTGAGGATCAGATCGAGGAGGTGGGACGAGCTCAGAGAAGGATGCTGCTTGGATTCCAGCGCTTTCAGATACTCAACCTCTGGCCTCGGGTCACTAGGTTCCTCCTCCGCCGCCCGTGGAATGAATTTCATCAGCTCCGTCACGAGCAACATCAGGTTCTCCTCCCACTCATCAGAGCCAGGAGGGAGAAAATTGGCAAATTGGAGGAGGAAGAAGAACAAGCACGGAGCTGCTACGTGGATTCGTTGCTCGAAGTGGAGCTCCCCCAAGATAATGGTAACAAGAGAATGCTCAGCGAGGACGAGATTCTGAGCCTGTCCTCCGAGTTCCTCAGCGCGGGGACTGACACGACCACCACCGCATTGGAGTGGGTCATGGCGAATTTGGTGAAGTACCCTGAAGTTCAGGAGAAGCTGTTTCGTGAGATCGAAAGCGTGGTGGTGGAAGGGAGTGGAGAGGTTTTGGAGGAGGATCTGGGGAAGCTGAAGTACCTGAGGGCGGTGAGCTTGGAAGGATTGAGGAGACACCCGCCGGCACATTTCTTGCTGCCTCATTCCGTGACGGAGGATACAGTGCTGGACGGCAAGTTCATGATCCCCAAGAATGCTGCTGTAAACTTCATGGTGGCTGAGCTGGGGTGGGATCCTCAGGTTTGGGAGGATCCCATGGCGTTCAAGCCGGAGAGGTTCCTGGAAGGTGGTGGTGAGTTCGATTTGACTGGAAGCAAGGAGATCAAGATGATGCCATTTGGTGCAGGAAGGAGGATGTGTCCTGGGTATGCCCTAGCCATGCTGCATCTCGAATACTTTGTGGCTAATCTTGTGTGGAACTTCAAGTGGGAAGCTGCTGGGGAGGTCGATCTCACGGAGAAGCCTGAGTTTACCATTGTTATGAAGCACCCGCTCGAAGTCAAGTTGTCGCCCAGGGTGAAAGCCTCGTCGTCGTAGTAATACCAACACCTTGCATAATGCATAGTGCAAGAGTTCTGCACGGCCTTCTTGTGGATATATAATGAATTTGGATGTGTAACTCAATCCACAGTGTTTGATATGGATCAATAATCTTGAATGTGTCACATGCTACACAATGAGCTCCTTTGGCTGATGGTTCTCAGAATCCATAAGCATAATAATCGATAGCTTCAAATCAATTCATTGGCTCACCAACAAGCAACAAGTGATGGATTCGATCCCCAATGGATTCACATTTAAACTGATCTGTAAATCAAAGATTTGAATACATCAATCTACTTAGCCATATTATCCTCAATGAACAGGTTGATACAACGATCCATCGCAAGCTCCACATGACACAATCCATCGCAAAAATTCAACAACCAATCAATGAAGCAATAGATTTCAAAATCAGTGTTTCCTAAAAACAATATGAACTCAATCCATCTACTCGTAATATTCCATTCATTTCGACTTGAAAGTAAGTGATGCCTACATAATCATGAATAACCACTTGATGATTCTTATCAACTGGTACATCGACCATCAGTTTCCAGTCTCAGGCATGTGGGACAGTAATGAATCCAAGTATGCTCAAAAAAAGGAATCATGATCTTAAGAATCTAAATAACTGATAAGGTGATAGTACATACAGAGGTTGGTTAGGATTTTCAAGATTGTTGCATAAATTTGTCTCCGGAGATCGATCCATTTCATTTCTTCGAAGGGTTCTGTGTCAATAATTATCTCATCGCCAATCAGTCTCGATCTCGGCCACTATTTCATCCCCATCTGCTGCTGTAGACTGCTGGACTCCATTTTGTTCCGAGTTGGATCGATGCTGCTGGTTTGGACTTGCTTTGTCAGTTTCATCCTGCTTTTGAGTCGCTAGTGGATGTGGATCCGTACAAGCAGCCAACGTTGAGGTCACTAACAAATTCTGCAATGTAAGTGAGTTTTACATAGTTACATTACAAGAACCAAAAAAAAAAAAAAACAAGCTGCGTGTATATAAACATGAAGAGAAGTAAAAGCCAACTAACCTTTCCTAGAGCTAGAGCAAGCTTTGAGAGATTTGGGTATATGCTCTTTGCAGTCATGATCTAAAAAAGCATGATAATTAATACTACCTCAGTCTGACCGCTGAAACGAGAAGCTAGGCTAACATAGACAATGTACACCTAGATCAGTATAATTGACAAAGAGATAGAGAATGTCTATGCGTCTCTACCTAAGCATCAGCATTTGGCAATTTTTCCAAAGCCCGAAAAAAATAACCACCTCTATTTCTATATATCGACCCCAGAAAAGGGGTCCCCCTGCTTATAACTGGACTTACACAACTACTCCACTAAGACCAGACTGGCTACATACAATGAGCTCAGCTGCCAATTCAACAACTGATGTAACTAAGCAAACATATCTTCCATCAATTACTGAATAAGTAGGACTAAGGCAATCTAGAGATGGAATCACCTCACATAGCCTTTGCAGGGTAAACGGCGGACCTTCACCAAAACTAAGAAGAGCTGCACAATGAAGCAAAATGAGTTTTTGTTAAGCAATGGTTGAGAGTGGACAATACAATGGAGCAACAGTATAAATTACTATCATCACGAAGTCTACAATATCAACCTGTTCAATTTTCCAGGCAAGTTCAGCTCAAGTCATAACTTCGTCCCATCCCACATCACATCCCAAAAATCCTAAGGAGGTGAAACTACCAGCTTTCTCTTTTTCATGACTGATGGAGTTTTGATCATGATTTCACTAATAAATGGTTATCGTGACTTCATACTATTACATAAGGGCAAAGATTCCCTGCCATCGCCTTCAAGATACCAGTTTCCTAAAATACAGGTCACGAGCAGATAGAATAGAAACAGCCAACTCAAACAACAAAAGAAAGCAAAGGGGGTGCAGAAGCATACCATCATCCTCCAGCTTTTCATCAGCTCGGGGTAGGTTTCTCCTAACGAAGCTTCCTGCTTCTCATCGGTCATTTTCACCTCAGGATACTCTGACAAACAAAACCTTCGTGATGGTGATAGTGGTTGTAAAGCCTAATGGCTATCAAACCTCAGTTTCAGAAATCCCTTACTGATTCTTCAACTACATATCACATATTTCAGTTCTTCCCAAGAGTAAGATGCCGGAGAGAAAACTAAAAATTGCCGAGTGGGAAATAGTTACCGATGGCTACAAACCTCGGGAGCAGCAGCAGGAGCCGGAGAGGGTCGGAATTTTTATCGCCCGAGGAAGTGGAAGCATGGTCGGGAGAAGGCTCGGTCGTCGGCGGCATAGTCGGCCACTAATTTCTGCTTACAGGGCGAGGGCAATGACCGACCGACCCGGAGAGGCTGAGAGTGAGAGAGTATGTGGCGGCCTGGCGGGGAGCCATACACCCAGAAAAGTTAAGGTCCTACCACCTACCACCTACTGTTGGCAAGACGACCTCCCAACGGTCAGGATGAAGGTCACGCTTCAGTAACGGGTGAGATGGATTCCTGGGTTTGCTAATGGAATGTGGGGGCCAGTCGTTGTCGGCCCTGTCTGCTTTCGTAAAACATGATCCTCTCTCCTAGTCGAATGTTTGCGTGGCCATTGCTTTGCTTCGTTTTCATCTCCGTTGCGAGTCGATAGAACATGAACAGTTGCTTTGTTTTCGTAAAACACGAGCCTCTCTTCCGTTTCTAAAATTGAGTCGCCCGCCAAATCATTTAGCTCCCGCTTCCTCCTTTCCAAATCCCGCTACCCCCATTCGAATTTTAATTTTCGAATCCCTGACCCAATCCTTTTTCCCCACCACAATCCTGCACCCCATTCGAGTTGTAATGTCTAATGAACCCTAATTTAGGATTTTCTTCGATCAGGGAGTTTAGGTTTTCCTTCAAGCATAGAGTAGCGGAGAAATAAGGGTGGAGATAAGGAGAGGCGTCGAAGGAGAAGAAGGGGAAAAGGCGGAGAGATAATGAGAGGTCGTATCGTTTCAGCGGGAAGCGCCATCGTCTTCTACCTGTGGGGTAAGATAATGAGTTTCACTGGAGTAGATCTTAATGAGCCGCCTTCACCTGCCGAGGAGCCTTGTTTGGAGGATCTGGTGAGCAAGATGATGCATGTGTGTCTATGTTTTGTCGTTGATAATGAATTTACTCACCTGCGCCATTTGGATCACAGAATGCCAACAATGGGGACTTGGATAAAGATATGGAAGAATAGAAGGAGCTGGGTACGTTTTCTCAACCTAGGCAGCTGCTGGGTTTTATATGATTGCGAATTTATTGAAGCATTTATGAGGAAAGAAGATTCCTCTGCATTTATTGAGTACAACAGGTGTGAATGTTCTGTTGGGTTTGTGTTGTATTAATGAATGTTGTTTGCTTTTTATTGAAATACCGTTTCCAACCTTAGTGAATATTATTTACGCTAAAGGGGAATGTATTTACCTTGCTGACGAGACAATTATTTCGTTGCAGAGACTTGGATACCATTGGTAGATATTGATGATCAACGCCATTGTATCAAGCCTCGTACTCCTGAGCAGTGTCGTTGGCTGTACAGGAGTTATGCTCACTTCAAGGGATTTTCTGACCGAATTGAAAAACGGAAGTGGAAGCGCTTGAGTAACGCGAATGGTGAATCCCACAAGTTCTACTACCATCTTCACTTCTGCTGCAACAAGGAATGCTTTAGCAGACGTAGCCCAAACAATCCCAAGAGGTCTGATAGACTCCCCGAGTCCCAAATGGACAATTCCCATTCCGGAGAGGCGGCGCAACGAACTAAGATTGGGATGTGAAGCACATGTGAAATTCATTTGGGATTATGACCTCAATGTATTCTATATTTGTGAATTTGATGGCCACCACAACCATGAACTCCACGCCAAGGATCACAGGCACCTGTTGATCAGAAACTGAAAGATTTTTGCTGCTCAAGCAAAAGTGATCGAAGACAATTGTGATACTGGAGTGAAGCTCAAATCCTCATACGAGGTTATGGTCCAAACTGGTGGAGGGCCCACAAAAGTTGGTTTCACAAGAAATGATCAAAAGAACCACCTTTGTAGGAGAAGGCAGAGGGATATGGGGCACGGTGAACGGACCTTTCTCAAAGAATACTTCCGGAACGAAGAAAAGAAGGACCCATCATTCTTCTACAATGTGGAGGTTGATTCATGCGAGCAGATTGCGAACATTTTCTGGGCAGACCAAACGATGCAGTTGGATTACGAACTATTTGGTGATTCTGTCTCATTTGATACGACCTTCAAAACAAACAGTGAATACCGTCCCTTAGATATACACTTTAATGTATTTATTTTTAATCTGATGGCGCCTGTTGGAAATGCATTTGGTAATGCATTTTTTATCTTAATCTAAAAGAAGCAAGCAACCTTGCTTTGTTATCTTTTACTTATAATGTCAGTTCTCTTTGTCGGGCTCAATCACCATCGACAAGTGATGATTTTCGGAGCATGTCTGATGTACGATGAGATGATTCTCTCCTTTCAGTGGTTGTTTTCGACCTTCTTGGATTGCATGAAGGGCAAGGAGCCAACAACCTTGTTCACTGATGAAGATGCTGCCATCGTTGCTGCCATAAAGTCCAAGTTCTCTTCTACATATCATGTGTTGTGCACCTGGCACTTGAGATTAATGCTGAGGAACATCTTGGCTCAATTTCCCGGACCCAGGAATTTAAGGATCACATGATGTACCTATTCTAACATGTCGATACCGCAGAAGAGTTTGACATAGCATGGGCTGCTATGATCGAGGAATGCTTCCCCGGTGTGGATGTTAAAAGTGGGACCTATTGGCTAAGTCGATTTTTAAAACTTCACGAGAAGTGGTGTTCGGAATGGTTAAAAAGGAATTTCACAGCTGGGATGACAACTACGCAGCACGCATGCCAGTGAGGCGTGCAATGCATCTGTAAAGTCGTTCCTTTTTGGGGACATCAATTTTGATGTCTTTTTCACCCGGTTCAACAGGTACATACTTTATAAAGGCTTTACACCCAAAATTTCAGTGAATACTAGTTGATCTATTTGTCTCTTGCCCTGCAGCATGTTGATGTTGAGAAGGGCAGAGGAGGTCGAGCAAGATTACAGAGGCATAAATGGCAGAAGATTCTTAGTCCTGTACCGCAGCCTGCTTGCAAGAAAGGCGTCGGATATCTTTACACCAAGCATTTTCACATGTTTGCAGGAAGAACAAGTGAAAACTTTGGAGTATCAGATATGTGAGGTCTTTGTTGACAATGACAACAACATTAGGGGTTATCTTGTATTCAGGACCAAAGTAGGGGAGCAATATGATGAACGTGTCGTCCGTGTTCACGTCCCCAGCACACAGCTAGAGTGTCGCTGACGTCTTTTTCCCACCGTCGGATATCCATGCGTCCATATCCTGAAGGTTATGGACCACCTCTCGTCTGCTGGGAACGCAAACATGGCTGAACTTCCAGACCACTTAATATTACCCAGATGGAGGAAGGATGTGAAGCAAAAATTACTTCTAGGAAGACCGAATGTTGCTCCGCCTTCAGTTCCCCTAACGGATGCAGATAATCAGTCCCAAAGGTACAGAGAGATATCTGCAACCATACATGAATTTTCACTAAAATTATCGAGTCAAGAAGATGAAGTATACGCCAAATGTTTCCAACTTGTTGGCAAATACCTCACTGGCCTCCAAAAGACTTGGCCTAATAGGGGGGGGGGGGCATCGTAGTAAGGGCAAAACAACATCCTTGTAAGTACCACTTGATCATTTAAATATCCAATCCATTTTGTTGTCCACCCTCCATAATTTACGTGTGTTTAACAACTTGTTAGTCTTCCTTGCGATATGTATGAATTGGAGTATATAAATTAGTGTTTGTTAAAAGTTTAGGGTCGTGTCCAGGTCGGACAACGTCATCCACAACACAGGTTAATTCATTGACTCTGAAGCACAGAGTGAACACCGTTGCAGCTACAAAGAAGTGGTTCAGGTCAGATAGGCGCCAAAAAACTGATATTACCAAGAACAAGTATGCTAGGGTTGCTGTCGTAATCAGAGACAGGACCGAGTTCAAGTTTCAGTTTACCTTTGACTGTCAATTTCCCGACTAGCGGTTTATGTCCCAGGAAAGCCAGTATGTGACATCCTCCATGGACTAATCCTTTCAACTGGGGAAGCCACCATAATTTTGATTATAAGTAACTCCTACAAGTTAGTTGTAGGAAGTTCCATTGCTCCTAGTGTTGTTGGAGTTTTGAGGCACCAATTGCCATATGATTTTCAAATACTGTCATATCATGTTGCAATTCAATGCATCAGTGGAATTCTATATTGATTACATACTTGCTATCTTGTGACGGATCTTACAATGTCATTTTGCCTCTATGTTATTTCATTTTCATCATAGTGGTGTCATATGAAATTGCAAATGCATCAGGTATAAATCTATGTTGTTTACAGGATGGTCTTGCACTACCAGGGCCACTACTATATTTTCAGTCCGCATTAGCAACGAACAGTTACCATATTATCAAAGGACAAATTCAGTATTCATGTTGTTAAATTAACAAAGAACCTTTAGCATATTAATAGAGAACAAGTTCAATATTCACATATTGAAATTAACAACTTACACTTACCATATTAGCGAAGAACACATTCAATATTGATGTGTTAGTTCTAACACTGAACTTTTAGCATATTACTAAAGAACAAATACAATATTCGCATATTGAATTAACAAAGTACATACAGTTAACATATCAGCAAAGAACAAATACCATATTTATAGTTATATCGAATGCTTCCCACTATTTAAGCATCTGCTACAATTACATTACGAACTACACCATCATTCTTACTTACAACTATTCAAACAAGAAAAACACGGGACTCGGACCGAAATATAACACACCTAATTAGTTCTGCTTAATGCCATTGTATAAGAGAATTTCCTTTCACCGCCACATGCGGGATCCAATTGATCGGAAGGTTGTATTAATTAGGTAGTTGATGACTTGATATATACACATGGTTTTGTCCACCATTCTTATACCGTTTGAGTCTTATTTCTGGTGTTTTAAGCCGATTTCACGCTAGGTTGTTCTTGTTTGTGATATTTCAAGTCCTAGTACATGAATGAAGGTTTGGGCATGAGTTCGGGGTCGATTGGACGAAGTTGGGACGTTTGGCGAGAAGCTGAGGAAACCACACGGCCAGGCCAGAATTCCACACGGCCGTGTGACTTGGCTGTGTGGCACTTCTTTGCATAGGCAAGCCACACTGGCCTGTAAGGGCCACATTTGGCCGTGTGGGATTTCCAGAGAGTACACACGGGCAAGCCATATTTCTACACGGCCGTGCCGTTCTGACCATGTAGCGTACATTGTGTCACTTAA